ATAGTAGGATCCGATCCGACACGATTTAACAGCTGAGCGATTTTTTATAAAAAAAGTTTAAAGATCAATTTCACTTTATAAAAATCAATATTTCTTAAATTATTATAAAGAATAGGATTAAAAATAAAATTAACATTAAACCCTCGAGCGCTGCACACCGCTGCGCTACGTTTGCCCTCTCACTCTGTTTCATAGAGAGCAAGATTCGTTGGCTTAGAGCCTCACAAGAGCATAATTTATTTTATATATAAAAACAAATGGAGGGGAAAAGTAATAATGAAATTTTTTTAACGATCGGGGGAGGGGGCAAAAGGAAGGTGGTAGACATTAGGGAAATGTACGATTAGAATGCGTAAGACATTCTAGAGATTAAAAAAATATATTAAAGAAATTTGCTCCAAAGATGGAGACGGAACCAATTTTATAATTGAAGAAAACCGAAAATCACAAACCTTTAAGGCATATGCCAACTAGTTAATAAAGAAGAATTGATCTCATAAACAGATTTTGAAAATCGATCAGCTGTTAAATCGTGTCGGATCGGAACCCACTGTAAATTCAGCCTTACTCAATAGGATTTGGATTTAGAAATAAAAAAAACATATTCCTGATCGGACCCAAACCTCAAAATTTTTTAAATTTCTTTCTTACTTACTTTTTTTCTTTTCTTTTCTTTCCTTCCCTTCCTTTCTCTTTCCTTGTTTTTTTATTTCAACCGACCAATTAAAATTCTTTTATTTTTGGATGGGACTTATTTCTAAAATAAAACTCCAAACTCGGATCTTTGAAAAAAAATTAATATTTCTCAGATTGTTTCGGTCTTAAATTTTTTTTATTATTGAGTGAAGGTAGAACCTGAAATTATAGATTCAGTGCAAGCTCTAATATTTCTCTTATTAAGTTAAAGACAATAAATCAAAAGAATAACAGTTACTATGGGATTTTACTTTTTAACATAAATCTTTCAATTGAAATTTTGCATCATTTAGAATACTTATTTTTATGACTCGCTGCATTCGATTTCATAATCAATAAGAAAATCAACCCTATCTGTTCATGTATAAAAATTTACTTGCTATTGTTTATGAATCCGAGAGAGCGATAATTGTCGTTAGTGACACTTAAATGTGACAAGCCATTGAAGATTACAAGAAGGCTCGTGACAGCAATCACCAATCCTATCGAACATCCCACAATGGCGTACATAAAGTTTTTATTCTAAAAATAAACAAAATTATATTTAAAAGTCAATGATAACGGCAAATATTCGGGCGTTAAAATAGGTTCATATTAAATGATCCATTCTTCCTAACGCATCCGTCCCGAAATTGAATACTTTTATATAGTAGAGAATTATATTATGATAAAATAATTGAAAGCCCATTCAATAAATTAATTTGCCTCTATTACTTTGTATATCAATGAGTTATATTATTATTAGTTTTTTTCCCCCATTAATTTTTAAAAGAAGTTGAATAACATTAGCCAAGATGGGGGATCGTAAATATCATTTTGACCTATTAATGGTCAAAATTTTTCTAGCGGATGAAAATGCTCAATTTTTTCAAAATATAGCAAATAAATCCTATATAAAAAATCTAGCCTGGTGCGTATATGCACCGTTAACCATTATGAAATTAAACTAGTAAAATATTCCCCCCCCCACACCCCTCTCCCTTAAAAATGTATACAATCTATTACTATAAAGAAGAATTTGAAAGTTAAAATTAGTAAAAGTTAATAAATTTATAAAATAGTGACTAAAACTCAAGATTTATTTAGAAAAAAAGGCATTTTTTAAAAAAAAAATAAATGAAATTCCAAAATTATTTTTATAAACATATAATATAACCAAAGGCAGGGGACCTAAAGACTTCTAAATTTATGGGGGAAAACTCCATCTAATATTGCTCCCCACCCCCTTAGTAAAATCCTGGATACCTCTTTGTTATCATTTTATATCTTGGAACACGTAGGACGTGAAAATATAAATAAATAAATAAAGGTGAAAAGAAAATGATTCTTCAATATTTAATAATTGCAAAACAATATATAAAAGATAAATAATGCATGTTAAAATGAAAATTTTCTTAAATAAGAATTTTGGCATTTAATTTCACCAATTAAAGAATTGTTTTTGTATATATCGTATTGGGATATGGAATCCACGGGACGATTCAAAATCTTTCAATTTTAAATCAGTTATTAAAGGGAATTTTTAAATTTTAAAAATCTGATTTGACATTTTTCAAGAAGTCATACAGTACCAACACTGTTCAGACAATTTTACTATCAACTTTTGAACTACTCTTAATTTATCTTTATTTATACATACATAGTATATTTTTAATACAAAATTTAATGGCAGAAATGTGTAAAATTTACAGCTTCTACATATGTTGGAATATATTTCCCGTCAAATCCAACTTTTCAAAGTTAAATATTGGTCTTAATATAAATTTATTCGAAAAGACATTTGCTAGGCAAATACAAAATAATAGCAAAATATAGGCATAAGAATTTTTAAAAATTTTCAGCAAGCGAGAAAAAGTTATAAAAGAATTAATGTCAAAATGAAAATTTAATATAAATATATAAATGACAGATAGCCATTGAGAAATAAATATTTTAATGCTCTAATAACATTAATACTTATCACAAAAAAAATCTATTTATTGTTGGTATATGAGCGGACCTCAAAAAATTCCTATATTTAGCGTAGCATCATTTTATAGATTAAGTTTGGAGAATGAACAATAATATCATCGATACATAACATTTATTTCATACCTAGAAGATAATTGAAAATTCTATATTCGAGTTGGAAGAATTAAATCATATAAATATTATATTAAGTTGTTATTGTATCTAAAAAATTATCGTCGCATTAAGTCTAAATCATCTGGTCTCATCCGTCATCAGAACTCGGTTCAAGAAACAGTCCGTCCATTAGGTCGTTCACTCAAAAATATTTTTAAAAAAAAACACCTGATAGTCGTAAAAAAGTAATTTTAGAATTTTAAATTTTTTTTAAAATTTCTAATCTATATAAGAGCATCTTACCTCTTTTATAGTCAATTTTGAGTAAAATGTAGGCCAAATATATTGGGCAGATAAAATGATAAAATAAACATTATAATCTAAAATTTTTGAGATTTTTTTTATTATATCATTTTTGAATTAAGAATAAAATAATGTTATTGGGTTATTTTTTAATATAATTATAATCAATTATTGTCATAATTGGGAGACTTTGATTTGTAAAATTTGATTTTTGGTAAAATCAGTATGTATTACGTTTGATGAGTCATTTTTATTTTTATAATTTTATGTTTTAGTTAAATTGGTGAGTCATTGTTATTTTTATAATTTTATGTTTTAGTTTAATCGCGTTAACATTTTATTTTTAGATTTATAAAAGTTAATTATTGTAAAGTCATTATGATGATAGGATTTAATTATTTATTTGTCATGATTATTGCTTCCCTATAAAAGGGAAGCGAAAATTGTAAATAATCAATTCATTTCTTTTTTTGAATTTTTTTTAACAATTAATTTTTTTTTAACAATTAATTTTTTTTCGATTTATTACTATTATAAAATTATTGTTTGTTTTTTTTTTGGTTTGATTATAAATTTATTTTGGATTGAAATAAAGTTGGGATTACTCGAAATCATTGTGGTGGAAAATTTTAACAATAGAATAAGAAAAACTTTAGACGGTCACAACGTAATAATTATAACAAAAAATAATTTTAAACTTTATCGTATATAGATTTAATTTTTCAGAATCTTATTGAATTAATATGATTCTAAATGAACTAAGTGAGCTAGGTCATGGTTGGTGATTGGATAGTTATCCTATATTGCATATTCATGTTTAATTTTGATTAAAACAAAAGCAAGTTATTTTCAATGAATATTTATCAATTTAAAATATTAATTTTTTTAATATAATATATAAATTTAATTTACTAATTATTGCGTATTATGTTATTATAAATAAATTAATATGCCTTCAGGCTTATAGTATTATAAAAATATGGGGAAAAAAATTTAATTTTATATATAGACCTCTATTTTATGTGTGGACTAACTATCACATATAGGTGTCCCAACATACCCAGAGTAAAGTATGGTACATTGTTCACATTAACAAGGTTATTCATAATATGCCAACAAAAATTACAAAGCTGCTCTACGGTAACTGTTAAAATAAGATATTTACCAAGTGACCATTTTAACAGGATCATTCTTATTTTCTCTGTCGATAAATTTTAAGTAGCTATATTTCTTTTCTTTCTTAAATATCATTACGTTTATTTCCCCTTTCTCAATTTGTATTCTATCAATTTATCTCCTTATTTTCGTTATTTTTTTCCCTTCGTTCTGTTCCGATTCTATGATTTGAATTATTAAAATATAGCAGAAAGATGATGAGTATCACATTTTTTTTCACAACTTTCTCATATAGTAACGTAGCTTGCCCTGCCATGTAGAAAGAAACTCTAGATATTATGTTAATCTTTAATGATTTATCCTTCATTTTAGAATTGAAGACTGTTTTAAACTTTTAAAATCAAATATCATAAATTTTTTTTTATAAATCAAACAATAATTTTTTATATTATATATTATCTATCACGCGGAAAACACCCAAAAACCTTTTCGAGAAGGGGGCAAGCATATTTTTTTTCATGGAGAATAAATTACGGGAAAGGGTAGGGCTAGGGGTCTCATTTTTTTTAGCGAATCCAATGTAACAGCGACACGCAATCTTAAATGATAGCGGCTCCTATATTATTTTCTCGTTTTCTTATTTCTTTTTTCTTGTATTGTGCTATTTTTGGCCAAATAAATGGATCTTAATTTTGTATGTCTTAAACTAAATAAATTTTTTGAGCATCATAAAAGATGAGTTTATTATATTAATTAGATTGATTCTTATATATCACCACAAATAAATTGTAAATATAATTTTCTAAATTTTAAGTGTTTTAAGATTGTATAGTGTATCATGGTTACAAACCCAAAATTAAATTCTTCTTTTTTAAAAAAATTAAAGGAAAATCACAATTTCCTTAAAAAAAATACATCATTATATTATATAATGTTAAATGGACATTTTGAAATTAAAAATTATTATAATATTTGGCGTTAAAATTTGTAGCAATAAGTAAATTCTTCAAAATATTATAATTATTATTTAATATAATGTTTTTTTTGAAGGAAAAAAAAACATTTTGATTCATTCATTTATATATAAGCTTATTATCCTAAAGTTACAATTTTTTTTAAAAAAATCCCTTTTTGAAAGCTTAAAATAAATACAAAATTACAAATAAACGGATAATAGTTTGTTTTTTTAGCTAAAGGGCAATAATGTAGATATATTACTAGATTGGCGATTCATTCATTAAAAGTATATATTTACATAGGAGTCAACTGTAGCGCCATTTTATGGTTTGAAGGTCGACTAATTGTCTTATTTACATTTAATTGACGCGCAAACCACAATTATTTAATGAATGAATCACCAATCAAGTTTTATGTATATAGGGTCAGATTTTTTTAATAATTATATCAAATTTTTTAAAATATTTTTAAAATAAAATGACTGAAATTAAAGGAATGACTATAGCTAGCACCCATTGCAAAAGTTTAGTTTAAGGTTGAATAAATTATACTTTTGATAATTTTTTAAAATTATTTTTTTAGGGTACGAAACTATAATCACGTGACGGCCCTTAACACATATAGATAAATATTCCCATTTATGGTAGTACATATCATTATAAGATTAGAAATTTGGCAAAAAAAATATGATTAATATTTTTGGATATGTAATGTTTTTTTTCTTCTTCCTTTTTGTTCACTTATTCTTTCTTCAGACTTTTATAGAAAGGAGGTGTGATTGACGGCTGTCTCATCCAACTTATCCCTATGAACACAACTATCAAAGCGGTCGAAGCAACAACTAGAGCGGCTGAGGCCCCTATCACTGATAGCATAAAATTTCTTTGCTGTAAATTTTTTTTTATCAATTTAAAAAAAAAATATTATTTAATTATTAAATTAGCATTTAATTCAATATCTAACAATCCCAATTAAAAAAGCCTTTGAAGTCCGGAACAAGAATTTAATCATCATTTTTTTTTAATAATCTCTTTCAAGAAATTAGAATTATTTTTCCTAGACTAGAAATATTTGTAAATAATTATATAGGAGAAAAAAAGAGAAGAAAAGCTGTTCAACACTATATGAACTCATTACAGCTATTTTCAAAAGTGCTCAGTTAATGGTACACCATTCCCAACAGGCGTTTAGGCCAAGTCAGAGCACCCTGTCCTAACAAGTGACCTTATCTCGATAAATATAATAATCACACTTTTACTTTACAAAAAGAAATTGAAAAAAAATTTCTAATTATTTAGCAAATACAAAAAAAATGTTTAAACAAATGTAGTAATCTTCTATCAAACTGTGTTTTATAGTATGGGTCAAAAAAAAAATTGGTAAAAGTTGGATGAGACCACCCTTCCATGAATATATAATATAAAATTTTAACTCCTTATTAAAGTTTCGCCTTCTAGTTTCAATCATAAAAATAAATTAAATTAATTTAGCCAATAATTTCTTTCTAATCGAGTAACAATTAAATATTACATTTAGTACATTATTAGACCAAATCCAAAAAGCAAAATTACTTTTCTTTTCGTTATAAATGTCAATCAAAAAACTTAGGACAACTGTGTCTTAATTCTTAATATATAAATAAAAAGGCTGGCAATTCATTCGTTCATTTAAATTAATTGTATCTCAATTATAAATCAGGTGGTGGCACGCCATTTAGGTTTCCCAAAAAATAATTTTTTATAAAATTAAATGAAACTTTGTATTTTTTTAATTTAATGTATATTGATTACACGAGAAATCAAAATGGCGTGTCACCAGCTAATTTGTATTCAAGAACGCATCAAAATCCATTTTTAAGGAATGAATCGTCATATATAATAAAATCAAAACTTACCGCTAATTCGTATTCCATTTTTGACACTATTTCATCCCTTTAGTAAAAAAAAAATGACAATAAATGAAAATGATCAATTTCTAAATTAGAGATTACAGGATAACCGAATCGATACTAAAAGTATCGATCGATAACCGATACTAAATAATAATACTAAATTTATTGGAGAAAAAAGCAATGATATTATTCATAAATATTTTAAATTATTTATTAAAGTTATCTCTTAAATTTATGAAAGTTATCTCTAAATTTTAAATTAAAAGTTAAAAAAAAATAATTGGAAAACATCACTTTCTTTCTTATCGGTTTAGAAAATTTCAATTTGCATAATGATTCTTTTTCTTTCTAAATTTATAGTTTTAATTTAAATAATGCAAGCTAAAAAGGAAAATCAAATAAATTATGAAGGTTAATGGTTATTTTTGGATATCGGCCATTTCTAATCCGTATCTCCGATGAAATAATAAGAAAGATGGAGGAGAATTAATTAATTTAAAATATTTACAAGGAGGAAGCTTTTTGAGGAACTCTTTCTCCCCTGACGGTTTTGTACCAGCGGGAGGCAAAAGACATGAGTTTGATAGCGCTAAATTCTGGTTGATTGTAAGTGTAGAGTTTGGATTTTCGAAAGCTAAATTATTTAAAAAAATAAAAATTTAAGTACAGAATAATGAAGATTAAGAAAATAGGGTTTATAACATAGTTTGTAACCTGGGCCAAAAAAGAGTTCTAATTTTGGTAGTTCTGACTTTATTTAAAAAAATTTAGAAAAACTGGTTTGCATTTTTGTTAGAAAAGTCCTAGAAATTTAAAAATGGGTTCTAGTTCCGGGTTCCATAATTTTTAAAAAATAGTTCCAGGTCCTGGTTCTTCGATTTGTGTCCTGGTTTTCCGAGTCTTACTTCTGGATCGGATTCTAAACTCTGGTTTATGTCCGTTTCTGTATCCATAATGCTTACAACTACCACTCAAAGAATTTTGTGAATTGTGATAGGTTGATATTTTGGATCCAATAAAAAAAAATGGTCATATACATCGAACTGAATTATTAGATATGGTAAGAGGTGGACAACATTTAAATGTATTAGCATATATTGGTGGAAATGTTTTGATACTTGATAAACCAAATATTAAAGTATGTGCAAACATCTTACAAAAAGCGTTTGATATTGGGGATCATTTCATAAAAGTTTTGATATTTTTTTCAAAACTTTAGTCATTTTAATATTAAATTATATTTAATATAAAATTGTATTTACAATAAAACGGCAGGAAATTCTCTAACACCAAATCTATTCTCCAATTCATCCGATACTTCGACATCGACTTTGCCTATGTTCATTTTGCTGTTCAATCTAATATACGACCAGTAAAATACATGTGCTAATTTATGATGATATTCCATGACCTATAGAATATGGATTACAATATTCCAGCCCGACCGGTACCCGGCTCTAGCGGGTTTCGGTTCGGGCCTTTTTAAAATAATAAATTCAGTTCGGTTCGGGCTGGGTCCGACTTTTTTAAAAATTTGTGTAGGACCGGGTCGCGGTTAAATTATTTTTAAATATATCATTCAATTTTGTGAAATAAATTGGTATATTTTTAAATTCATGCAAGAAACAAGGTGCCAATAGTTTTTTGCTTGCAGAATATTTTTTTAAAATAATTTTTCTATATTTAAATGAATTCGGGCCGGTCGATAATAATTTTTTTTTATTATTTCAGGAGATTAAGAAAAACTTAGTTTAGTATAGGGTCGGGCTTTAAAAAAAATTTCGGGCAGGGCCTGTTAGGCCCAATGCAGATCGATACTACAGAGGTCAAATCTTAGGTCCAATTCAGACTGAATATTTTCCTCCCTATTTTAATGCCGATCCGATTTAAAATATTTTTAAAAGTTTTTGACAATGACCGGCTCCGATTTATTATTTTTTTTATCTATTTTCCCACCCGGCTTAGACTCAGTTTCTTCGATTCAGTTTAAACAGGATATTGGGGCTGTAAGCCATTTGTGATTATATATCATAATTAAAAATAAAAATTACTTTGACGCGACTAGTTCCCAAATCGGCATTATTTCTGCAGTTTTATTGTTCGAAGGTTCGTAGCTTAAAATATTATGGAATATGAATGAGTTTAAGAACGCTAACAAACTTAAAGGGAGAATAGCTAAATTCGTGTTCCGCACAAACTCTAGGGGGTAAAAATTCTTCTATTTTGCCTGCCATTTTAACTTTTTTAGTTTGTATTAGAGTAACATATGCTATTAAAAAATAAAAGATGTTAACCCTGAGATTATTTTTTAAGGCGATATAAATAAGGATAATTTTTTAGGCGGTAGAGTTAACTCTTAAGACATACGTAACTAATAAAAACACATTTTCATTTTTTATAATAAAAAGAATAAATAGCCAACTCAAAATAGAAGCTATAATTTTACAAAAATTATCTAAAATAACTAATATATATATTTTTTATTCTTATATAATATATTTGAGCAATAAAAATTAATTAAGGACTCACAATAGTACAAACCAATCACCGGAGGCACCCCCTTGAGCAACTTGGGTGATTTTATCAAAGTTTTCGTCGTTTAGTTCTCTCACCACGCTTTCCTTGTGAGACAAAAGCCATTTTAAAACGGCGTCATCATCCCATTCTCCTAGAATTTGCGCGAATTAAAAAAAAAGGAGGTCAATAATATTTCAACCAAATAAAAGCTACATATATCGATTAGAGAGACAAAGCCCGGCCCGCGGTTCGGGTCGTAATTTTAAAAAAATAACCGACTCGCCTGGTCAATTTAAAAAAAAAATATATCGGGCTAGGTCAGGCCTGGCAAAAATTTATGTTTGAAAATTGTTAACGAGTCGAAGTGGGGAGGGCCGGTCAATTTCTGAACAGCCTTTGATTTTAAAAAATTCAAAAATATCTAGATTTTTAAATTTTGCAGCAACCATTTAAAAACTAAATAAACATCACCACACACACTATAGGTCTGACGTAACCACCAATATTTTTTTAAAAAAATCGAAAGTTAAATATGACAATACGGCGTAGCTCTCTCTCTTTCTCTTCCAATGAAATTCGTAACAAAAATATTAAAAAATTCATCCATTACCAGTGCGTGCATATATAGAGCGTTTAAGCTTTGCCATCCTTTTTTAACTTAAAAAAAATATGTAACGCGTTCCTTGTTTTAGCTGATGTTATCTTTTTCTTTTAAATATTAGTATCTTAAAAATTTTCGATAATCCTGCATTCATAGCACGAATTTGTAAGGACTCGTTTATATTAAACGCGTTTTGTTCAAACGATACGGTTTTCAACACTTTTGAAATTACAGCTGATTCATCGTAGCGACAATAGGTTTTGACATAGACGATGTTTTTCAAAATTTATCATGGCGTTTTCATCGCTTCGTTCCATATATCAGCTTTAATTACCGCACCGGTTGAATTAAACGCATTTACTATAATTGAGGCGTGCGTTATAAAAAAAAGGAATTGGGTTGCAAATTATATTATCGTCTGCCTAATTAATATTTTATTTTTTAAGGTTAAATTATTTATTTTACATTTTATGTAATATTTAAGTTTAATTTATATTTTAAATAAATCAATAAGAAGAGATTTTTGGTGCCTCATTATTATTCTTATCTGGAAGGCCGTAGATCAACGTGTAAAATGAATGAATTAAAAAGGTATTGATCCAGCAAACCTAATTTAATTTTTAAAAAGGTTTCTAACGCTAGGCGGTAATTTGACCAATTAGCGGGGTACGCATTATTTGCGTTTGAAGTGTGCGCCTTATACGCTTGATTTTTATCCATAATACTATTTTTTTTTTTTTAAATATATGAAATAGCAAGTGATGAAACAGAAAAAAAAAATAATAGTGCAATTTATTTCGAGAATCATTTTCTTACATTTTGCAACCAACATTTACATTTTCAAAATTTTTAAGTGATATTAAAAGCAACAATGTAATATAAGTTTAAATAGATACTTTGTAAGTTTAAAACGATATATTTTAGTTACCATCAGTTTTTAAAAAAAATTTTACCTTCTCCTATATTATTAAAAGCAACAATGTAATATAATAAGTTTAAATAGATACTTTGTAAGTTTAAAACGATATATTTTAGTTACCATCAGTTTTAAAAAAAAATTTTACCTTCTCCTATATTCCCCCTCCCCTCTTCAATCGCTAAATGAATTCCATATAAATAAACGTTCCTAATTTTGGCCCAATCCAAATTGGCATAAGCCAAGTTTTCATTCTAAAAATCTGTCTCCGTTATATTTTGACAATAAGAACTTTAGACTTTATATAAAGCATATATTTATTTTAATTTCTTATGCTTGGATTAAAAAAAATAAATTGTTAAGGATATAATAAGAAACTTATGCCAACATTTTCTTAAAAAAAAAATAAGAAATAAAGAAAGAAAAACTTAAAAAACCAGTTAACCAAAATAAATAAAATTTGGAATATATATACTAAGATTAAAATAATTTTCGCATCAAAATAATTCGCGGGCGGGGGAGGGGGAGCAATGCTGGCACCTATTCCCTTTGAGATTATTGTGGCATAGGTTATTATTAAAAGTTAAAATTTTAATAAACGGATCCGGTCTTCACTGAGATATGACCCTTTTAGAATTTGCGCTGATCCATGGATCTGTTAGTTGGGGGGGGGGGGTCTTTTTTAATACCTTATTAGGGCGAAATATCTTTGTGCCATTTTTATATAATATAAATTTTAACATGCTTGGGGTGCCCCCACTCCATCTGAATATCGAAAATGCTATATAATATTACTAAACATGTGCTATATGTATGTATTAACTAGTATTTCTTTCAAACCGTCGTATAAGATGGGAATCTCTTTCCTCCAAAAGATCAAAGCTGGAAAAGTGGTTACACCGTGCTCTTTGGCTTCCTCTATATTGTTCACTTTAATCATCTCTATTCCGTAACGACCCGCATCGTCATCAATGTGCTCCAATTCGGCAAGCACTTCGTCGCATTTGGCACAATTTTTGGTGTCTTTAAATAGGATAATAGGGATTATATAATATAATTTTAAAAAAAGTAAACCAAGAAGAATCTCATTCATACCCTCCAATTTCACCAAACAGAGAGCCCTTGCTTACTTGATAATAGGTCTGGTTGAAAAATTTTCTTATATATTTACCCAGTGTTGTTGAAAAGCTCGATCTGGGTCGATTTTTAAAAACGACCCGAATTAATATTTTAGCCAAAATAATATTTTGTAAGCCTGGGAATTTTGCTCCTAAATGACAAATAGGCTTAGACTTCAATTTGCCAAATTTCGAACCATTAGTTTTTATAAGGATTTTGAAGAAATTATAAACTTCTCTCATTGCTATAAATTAAAATAAACTCAAAAAAAAAAGAAAGATATTAAATGATTATTTTAAACTTTCTGTCCACAAGCTATGTATATCATTTTTTTTTCTTCCAAGTTTCAAATCTTAAAAGAGAAAAATTATTTGGTTTAATTTATTTTTGATTATGGTCCAATTCAAGGAAATTTTTTGTGCAACAGCTGATTTATTTAAATTTACATTCGTCTATTTATCACATGACCTGTCAGATTTGATATTAATATTACCTAGGTCACATATCTTTAACCATTAATCCAACTCTACTTCAGATGCTTCTTCAATTTTTAAAATATATTCCACAACAAAAAAAAATTTCCTTCAGTTTTGAACATTCCTTGAGATGAAGCTATTTACCAAATTTTTGATAGCTAATTGAGACAATATAATAAAAATAAATTTGAAATAACCTCTATTGTTTTCAAAATCAATACTACTCGGTTAAATAATATCATATTCATAATTTTTTTTTTTTAATTTTTCATAGCTAAATATTACCAACAAAACAGCTGTAATATTTACAAGTATAAAATTTTATTTATTAAATTTTTTTCTTTTAAAATAAAAAAGAGTTTTAAATTGATATAATTGAAAACATATAACAATACTTCTTTATTTTAAAACAAAAATTATCTAAAATTTCTCTAAACTTATTTTTTATATAAATTTGGTGTCGAAGTTTTTATGAATTATTTATTGACTATTTTATTTTTAATATTAAATTTGATGATTTGCGAATTTGACGGCGGGGAACAAAAAGAGTATTAAAAAATTAATATGTATTCTCATTCGATAGAAGATGTATGTAATCCGATTCTATAAGATATCTTAAGTGGGTAGATTCCCTGGGAAAAAAAAAAATTTTTTAAAATTTTGAGGGAGTAATACTCTTGTGAATTCTTGTTTAGCGAAGATTTTTTTTAAAAATGGTTTAGAAAAAAAAGTAGATTAATTCTTATAATCCTGAGGGGGGGGGGGGGTAATTAGGAAAAATTAATTGGCACGATTCTCCCAGAACAAACTAATAAAATCTCGGACTGATTCCGCAGGTTGGGTTAGCCAATATAAACATATGGCAGAAAGTTTAAAAATACTTCTTTTAAAAAAACGGCCTTAAATTTTTTCTATAAAAATATCAGGATCGGACTGAAAATTCTCTAAAGAAGATTAATATGTAGTCTTAGTTTATCTAAATTTTGATCTTTAATTGATAAATAAAAACTATTATTGAAATATCGTTGGAATAACGATTAAAGCTTTCCTTGGAGAGCTTAAAATTTGGATTCATTTATTTCAAATGATAAAAATCCATCGAAGCGATTTTATTTTCAATGGTAAAATGTTACATTTTTTGAGACTATATGGGGAAGAGTGATGGCGATTAACTATTAACTAAAGTTGGTTGGTAATGAGGTTGGAAAGAAAAAATGTTCATGTAAAATAAATGTTATTTTACTGATCTCTCAACCCAATGAGTGCGGTACTTTTACTGAAAATACATGTAATTGATGGTTCTAGGCGCGCGATTCGGGAGCCTTCCGGAGGATTTAAAAAAATATAAATATCATTTTGTAAGAGAAACCGAAGAAACAGACATGAAAGTAGTAGCAGGTTCCTGAATTATAAATTTAGGTCATCATTTCTCTACCTAAATATATATCCAAAATTATTTTAAATTACGGGAAATTCTGTCTTTAAAGACTATATCACAGCCAGTTGTGAAGTGAGAAGGTAAAAATTTTATTATATATGGTGGATATAAATAATTTATAAATACAAAAAAAATTTCTAAAAATTATTAGTGGAGTTATTAAATATCATTTTTTTTAAAATATGTGGCATTTAGTATGTATTATTAGTTTAACCTGCCCATCCCGTGAAAGAGAGGGGTAAGGTAATAATAAATAGATCTTTGGAGTTGGAATGTTATCAGAAAATCAAATCGGCGTGCATTATGTAAAAAAATAATAATAATATTACATGGGCATGCAAAAATGTGATGTAATCTCCAAGTAACCCTGCATTCATAGTTAGTGAGAATTCCCGTATACGAAATATGATACAAATATAAGCATTTTTCATTCATTTTTGTATACTTCGAAGCGAATTCGCGCTAACTGTGAATGCAGAGTAGCGTGTAAAATATATCCTTATTAGACGATAATAGTTTTAACAAAAATGATATAGTTAACATTTTAGGTTTATATTATTTGAATATTAACAATTTTTTTAATAGATAACTAAGAGTTAAGGCAAAAACGGGTTAATAACGTTAGTGGTTTATCTCGATAAAATTATCAAAAATATGATTATTTAGTTTGTAAGCGAAAACGAAAACCTGTGTATATAAAATTTCAACCCGAACCGATTTTATTATTTTCTTGCGAAACCGAACTTTTAAGTGTTATTTTTTTTAATCAAACCGAGAGCCGATCGGATTCTTTTCGGTTCGGTTCCCTTGATAAAATGATACTTTTTGATGAAGAAGACAAATTTGTCCAGATATAATTATTTTAATTTTTTTCTTTAAAGAACTTGTTCAGCACATGCCAACGAGTTAATTAATAAAAATATCTCCTGCGTTTTTTTAAAATTATAATTTAGTCACACGCATCTATCCATTCTATATTATATAATATATTTCTTAAATTGTTTTTATGGTTAGAATTTCTAATGATGCAAATTTTCAATTATATATTATGAAAAAATTCAATAAAAAAAATTTTTTTTTTATTAGAGCCAAGGTCAAGATATATTAATTACTAATTGATTTTATCTGTGGGAATTATATATCTAATTTTATGTAAAAATTTTAAATAAGATAAGAATTGATTAATTATTTTGCATGATAATTATTGAAAGAATGGCACATAATGTGTCCGTAAATAGTAATGTTGTTTAAGAAGTTCAATTAAGATTATAACCAAAATATGTGAGCCTGAACATTTTGCTCATAGATGGCAGAAAGGGTTGGACATCTGTTCGCTAAATTTCGAGGCTTGGATAATATTATTTTAGCTAAAATCTTAATCGGCCCCCTTTTAAAAATCGACCTCGGGATTTTTAACAACAATAGTAATGAGATATGGAATCCATTAAGGATACAGTATTTCTCAATTTTAAATCATACCCTAAGAGCCATTTTTTTAAATATTAAAATGCGATTTGACAAGAAATGTATTCCAGCATGTATGATTCATCCACATTGTGATTTCCAGACAATTTAGCAATATGAATTTAAAAAAAAATATATATAATCTAGACAAAATATCTGAAGTTCACATTGTGAGCATGTGGCAAATCAGGTTTTTTCAAATTTTATAAATCACCGCTAAGAAATGATTTAAAATTGAAACTGAGAAATCCAGTTATTATTATTGTTTGTAATTAAGATTTCTTTTAGATCAAACTTTCTTAAGATACAATTCTTTCATTCATTTAAACCAGCTGGATAAAGCAATACTCAAAAAGAGCGCCTGTTTTGTTTTAATCAGGTCGCACTTATAGTAAGCAGGAAATATCATGATGTCGCTCAAGCGATGAACGAAAGGCGTTTCGCGCTAAACGACGCCTTAATTTTAAAAGTATACATGTTTTTAGAAGTTAAATAAAATTTGGCCATTAGATACTTCACTTGATTTTTAAAATATAATGAGTAATATTTTTATTTTTTTACAAAGCAGATGAGATATGGCAAGGCCTCATTTACAGTAAGCGCGAAATCCCACCTTATTATTATGAGTTGAATAGTTTAAAATAAATAAAAAATTAAACAAAAAAATTGTGCTTATTGATAAACAAGCTAATTATTAATATCTAGGTGTTAGGGAAGACAAAAATGTCCTTAAAACTCTTAAACATAATTTTAACATTATTTTTTGACCACTTGATATCAATTTAAATAAATAAATGGGTAGGTGCTAGCGATGCCACTGCATATTTGTCAGATTTTATTATAGCTTAAAGTAAACGATTTTCTAATTTGGAATCAATTATCTGTCCAAATTAGACATATGAGGGGAAATCGTTTTGAAGGGTAAAATATTGTTACCTTAAAAGATTCAAAATAAAATGTGACTTACAAAATATAACGGATACGTAATCCTTCTGATCTACCATATTTTCGAAGGCTTCCCTGACCAAATCTTCGATAACTTCTTCATCTCCTTCTTCAGCGGCGCAAATCAAAAACGAATTTAATAAAAGGCAGACGATTAAGAGATATGAGCAGACGATATTTGACAGGGTAATAATATTCAAATGTTTTCTTTTGGAAGTGGATAATTTGCAGTTCATTTCTTATCTGTCATAAAAAATGATACAATAATAAATGAAATCTTTAATGAATCTATTTACAAAAAAAAAGTAAACAACAACTATAATTAATTGATTAATTAATTAAATCAATATTTTAATATACCCATACCTTATATTATATAAAATATTAAATTTTTATGGCTCAAATAAATTTTCGTAAATTAAATATATTATTTTTAAGAATTATTAGCTAAAATATTAGACATTTTTTTAAATTTTAAGAAAAATATTAATTCTTTTTTTCTAGTAATTACAAATTTATAAAAAAAAATTGAAATTATAAGCAGATTGTCGTCAATTCATTTCCATATGTTTTTTTTTATTATTTTATAAATTTTTTTGAAAAAAACTTGAATGTTTGCTCCTTTAAACTTTTAAATATTCGATTTGCTTAAGCAATGCGAAATTAATAGTTAGGGAAATCACAGCTGATTCGTCACAATAAAATACTTTTTTGCTATTGGCTCTTGCATAGATCTGTGCGTCATAGACAATTTCTACAGGGCCGGAAAAGTTGCCGTTTAGATGAGCCACGCCGCCAGACTTGTCACTAATTTTTTATGGCCGCAACGTGACGTAAAATTCTTAGATAATTAATTAATCATATTTAATAAGAAATTATTTTTAAATTTGAATTTTAAAGTTAATAAAATACAATTATTATATGAATTGTATTGGTATATACAGAATTTGCCGTTGTTTCGAACAGAAACTCTTATTATGAAAGCACAAAATATTTAAAACAACATTTTTTTTATATATTGTTTTCATTGAATTCGTAAATCATATAAAAAATATTAAAAAAAATGTCAATTGACCCTATTTTTGCCGTTCTTTCGAAACAAATTCTCAATTAAAACGAGTATTTAAAATTATAACAAGTATTTAAACTTATTTATAATTAATAAATTAAAGTCAGCGGAATATCTATAAAATCATTATTTTAAAAAATTTGTTAAAAATAACTTTTTGCATCAATGGTATTGTATTTATAAACTTTTTAGATAGCAAGAATATCTATAAAGTTAGGGTTTGCCATTGTTTCCACACAGAAATATTATGAGAGCGCAAAATATGTAAACAACATTTTTTATTTTTGTTATCACTCAATTCTAAGTCAAACATCATATAAAAAAATGTCAATATCTCTATCTTTATAATTCTTTCGAACAAATTCTTATTCAAAACGAACAAATAATTTTTTACATTAAACTATAATTATTTCATATAAAGTCAGTGGCATATCTATAAAATTATCAGAGACCTGTAAACAGGGTTGCCATGTCTCCCCCATCAGTGGGAGTCTCCCACAATTTTTTAGTTTACCCACATACATCTTACTCCCACAAAACTCCCACAATTAGAAATCTCCCACAAAAAGCTCCCACAATTTTTTAATTTCTCCCACAATTTTTTTTTTAACATTTTAATGTTTTTAATATATAAATAATAATTTTGAGAGACAGTATTTGATTATTTTTATATTTTTAAAATAAATTTTAAATATTTATTCGAAAAATATGTCTAGTTCTTTAATTTTATTTTTCCGCTCTAAAATATATATTTTATAAAATTCTCCAATTCTCCACTCGACATTTTCAAAATTATCATGTAGTTCAACATTAACAGCTATCTGTCATCACAATGTGGGTCGAATCTTTTCCCCTAATATTTAACGACTCCAAAATAAGTGCTAACTTTACTTGAGGTAGGACAAAAATGAGCAAGGCTATCACAAATGTGTCAGGACCTGAATCCAAGAGGTCAATTCTAGACGATTTGAAAGAAGGACATCCATATGCTATTTTAACAGATGCATCAAATAAGAAAAATATTAAAACATTTCCCCTGATCCTTCGCTATTTCAACAAGAATAAAGGCATTTCTATAAAACTATTGAAATTTTTTTCATCCGATAGTGAAAAATCCAACGATATAGCTAACCACATAATGGTAAATTTAGCTGATTCAGGGTTATCAATGAGTTGCATGTCAGCTTTCTGCGCTGATAATGCCTCTGTTAATTTTGGCAAAAATCAAAGTGTATTTACCGAATTGAGGCAGCACAATAAAGATTTAATACCAATTGGCTGTATATGCCATATACTGCATAATTCTTGCAAGAAGGCAATGAATGTACTATCTGTAGATGTCGAAGTAATTAAGATGAAATGTTTTAACGAATTTATTTCATCAACTAAAAGAGTCACTGAATTAAAAGAATTGGTGGAGTGGTCTGATTTGGAATGGTGTGAGTTGTTGCGATATGTACCTATCAGGTGGTTATCATTAATACCTGCCATCGAGAGAATTTTAAAATTTTACGAACCCTTAAAGAAATACTTCTTAAATAAAGATTTTAAAAGCTGTCCTAAAATTTTGAAAAATTTTTTCGAGGATGAAATGTCAGAAGCATATTTGGGATTAGTTTCACATGTAGGAAATCTACTTCATGTAGTTAATATTCAGTTGCAATCAGAAGATTCTTTATTGATAAAGCATGCTACAGCTATGTGCATCTCTGCGCTATTGCTAAAAATATCATATTAAAATGTTCAAATATTACTATAATTAACGTATTTTTAAATGAAGCAAATATTTTTTTAAGACAATTTTGGAATATTTACAATCAAGATTTGATTTTAATAACTCTATTTACAAGTGTATAAATATTATGACTTTGGAACAGAAACCATCATTTGATGGTTTTTGTAATTTAATAAATATATTAAAATTACCGATAGACATTGAAGCCTTGTTTGAAGAGATTGTAATTTTTTCCATTTTTTATGATTCGCCAGAATACTTAAAGTTAGATGGTCTAAAAGCAGAGGAGAAATGGGTGGAATTTTTTCGTAATAACGATAAATCCCCATGCTTGGAAAAAATTTGCGAGTATGTTTTCTCCTTACCTCATTCTAATGCCTCATCGGAGCGCATTTTTAGCCTGATGAGGACTGCCTGGAGAAAGGAGAGAAATCGAATTGCTTTAACAACATTAGAGGCCGAGTTAATGGTTAAACAAAATTATAAAATGTCATGCCAGGAATTTTATAAATATCTTAATAACGACGGTAAACGTTTAGTTCCATTATTTAAATCTCAAATAAAATATAATTAACTATAACTATTTGACTTTCTGTATTTTATAAAATCTTATTTATACATTTGCATAAAATCAATTTATTTATACATTTGCATAAAATCAAATAAATTTATTTTTTACATTGTAAAATTAATATTTTGAATATTTTAGCAAATCATAAAAATAAAGAAGCATTACAATCTCCTCAAACATGACATCATATTAAATCTTATTAATAATTATCCGATAATAGTAATAATATTCTTACTTTGGTATTTCTGCAGCATAATTTAGTGAACCTTTATTAAATTATATTCTTCTGATTGCAACTGCATATTAACAGCATATAGTAGATTTCCTATATGTAAAATTCCTAAATATACTTATGCCATTTATTTTTGAAAATTTTTTTCAAAATATTATGACAAAGGTTTGTAAAATTTTAAAATTCTACGATGGCGCGTATTAGGAGGAACCTGTCAACCAACATTATGCTGAATCAATTCTGTAAATATACTCTGGTTTTTACCAAATTCACTGAGGAATTATCAGATCAGAAAGATGCCATGCAATTCATTGGTAATGCCAAATCTGCCATATTTACCATTATATATGGTTAACTATGTCTTTGGATATTTCATATCTGGAGAAAATTTTTTTAATAGTTTTATTGAAATGACATTAATTTTGTTGAAATAGGGGAGGATCAAGGGAAATGTTTTAATATCTCCTTATTAGATGCATCTGTTAGAATTGCATATGTTTGCACATCTTTCAAAACGTCAAGAATTGACCTTCTGGATTTATATCCTAAAACATTGATGATAGCCTTGCTCATTTGTGTTCTACAAAGTATACTTTTCATTTATATTAGTCGTTAAATATTATGGGGAAAGATTCTACGAACATTGTGATGTTAAGTAGCTCTCTGAATGCTGTACTGCATGATAGGTATTTACCATTTCCGCAACTGTAGTTGCATCTGTATTATTTCTTATTTTTGAAGAATATTTTTGTTTTGCAATAGATGTTGATAGACTGCCCTGTACTGATTTATGCTTTGAAGATTTTTGATGCCTCAAAATATCATATTCCCTTCCCCCATTGTATTAACTAAATACTGTAGAACAACTTCCCCGCACTGATTATAATTATTTTTTACATTGTAAATTTAAAATTGTTTGTTTTTTTATAAAATCTTATTTATACATTAGCATAAAATATATTTTTTTTACATTGTAAAATAACAATTTTTGATAAAATTTTATCTTGTTTACATTCTTTTGTATTTAAAAAAGATTGTTGGTTATTATTTTTAAACAAAATTAATATATTATAATAAATCAATATGTTATTTTAATAATAAAGATAGTATTTAAGAAATTTTGTGTCGTACTATAATTACCTATTTTGAAAAATAGTTGCGTATTTTATTTTGGAAAATAGTTAACTATTTTATTTTGAAAAAGAGTTGGATATTTTATTTTGAAAAATAGTTGGCTTATTTTGAAAAATAGTTGGCTATTTTATTTTGAAAAATAGTTGGCTATTTGATTTTGAAAAATAGTTGGCTATTTTATTTTGAAAAATAGTTGGCTATTTTATTTTAAATAGTTGGCTATTTTATTTTGAAAAATAGTTGGCTATTTTATTTTGAAAAATAATTACCTATTTTATTTTGGAAAATAGATTCGATTTTATATTTATAAAAAATAATAAGCGGATAACTAAGTCAATTCTCCTTCGGCCCGCAAATTTTTTTTTTAGCAATTTTCATATTTCTCCCACAATTTTTATATTACTTCCACAAAATACCGAATTTCTCCCACAATTTGAAAATTTTGACCTGGCAACCCTGCCTGTAAACCGGGCCGGGCCTGAAATTTTTTTTAAAAAATATCCGGGCCTTAAACCCAAATATTTGAAATCTCCATTATTAGCTATAAAAATCATAAAAAAATATAATATGTTTTTAAAAAATCAGCCCAGGACCTGAAATTTTTTTTAAAGGCCATGCCGAAAAAAATTTTGAAAAATAAATCCAGGCCGGGCCGTGCAAATGGTATCTTTGCAGGTCTATGAAAATTATTAAAAAAAATTTTTCACATATTTATTCGAAGATAATTTTGTGGATCGTTGATATTACATAATAATATATT